TGTTAATGCAAATACCGCGGGGGATATTTAAATCCCCCGCGGATTTTGCTATTCCGAAGTCTACATTAGCATCCCTTTTCCGGAAGGGATGCCAGTGTAGACGTAGCCCTGCTGTTTGCTTGGGCTCCCATTCATCCCGTGTGGTGGACTGGGGCAGGAAAGGGAGGGGGGCTGGTGAGAATGGGACACTTGAGGTTCCCCTCTGGAGGTCACCAGCCCTGATCCAGCCCCAGCCTGGGGGAAGGGCTGACTGGTGGGGCGGAGAATGGGACACAGGGGTTTCCCCCCCAGGGGACACTGGTCCCTCACTCTGTGTGAGGGGGATGAGCTTCTGCTATTGCCTGGCAGTGGCAGCCAGTGCAGCTCTCTGGTGCCCAGTGTGTGAAATGAGCAGCTGGGGAGAATTTCCCTTGTGCCCGGGCAGGTGTGTGCCGCCTGGCCCAGCCTCAGTCTGAGCGGCTCCCAGGCGAGGGGCGAGGGACTAGCTGGTCAGGAGCAGGGGTGGTGGGTGAACCACTGGCCTGGGGAGATTAGATGCCAGTAGGCCCGTCTCTTCTGCTTGGGCCGCCCCCTTCAGCCACCTTTCCCCTGCCAGGGGGCAGAAGCCTCAGCCCTGCAGCATCTGAGTCCCCCTCCCCCCAGCCCTGAAGTGCCTGGCAGGCAGACAGGAAGCATGGCTCCCAGCCTGAGCCCTGGAGCCGCAGGTGGGCATGAGCTGAGTGTGGCCCTGAGAGCGGTGGGCAGGCAGGTAACATGGCCTGCAGCTCTGTAGCGCCAGGTCAGGGGTGGCATGAACAGGGGGTCCTGCATCTGGGCACCCCTGCATGCAGGCCGGGCCCCAATAGACCCAGTCCAGGGCAAGGGAACCCTCCCCAAAGGGGGGCGGGGGAGAGGAGCACTCCTGCCCAAGGTGGAGGCAAAAGCAGCCCTCTGCCTGTGTCCCAGGCCCTCTGCTCAGGGCAGGTGAAGAGACCATGGCTCCCACAGCCGGCCGGGCAGATCTCCCCAAACGATCTCTGATGGGCAGGGGCCATAGTGCACACTCCACCTGTCCACGGTGCAGGGGGCCCAAGCATGTCCCCACCCCCCGGGCCCCTCACCCACCTGGGGCAATCAGAGGGCGGGCTGCCTGCACCACTCTTACTATGGCTGGGCTGCTGCTCCATCCCTCCCCCCTCCCGGCTGGAGCCAAGCTGGGGACAGCCTCACAGGCAGCTGTGGGAGCCAGTGGGGAGGTGTGATCCTTCCTGGGGAATGGGGACACGGGCTGGGGGAGGGTCTGCCCTGGCTCCATGCTGGCCTGATTGGGAGAGCGCCTTGGGGGGAAGAGTAAGGGAAGGACGTGGGGTCTGTCCCAGTGAAAAGCAGATAGGCCAGTCCCTGCGTACTTGTCTCCCCTACCTCCTCGATTCCAGCCCAGGGCTCCGGCTGCAGAGTGTGCTGGGAAGCAGGAGGGGGTCTGGAGTGAGTGTGGGCAGGGCTAGAGTAGATTTAGCCTTCCCCAGTCTTTGATACCTGCTGCCTATGGTCAGGAGACTGAAATTGCTCTTTGCCCCTGCCTGGGCTCCTCTCCTTCTGCACCCCAACATCCCTGTCTGACCAGTGACGACAATAACAGCCTTGTGGAGCTGTAGTGCTGCTCCCCCAAAAGCCCCACTTGCCCTGACTAGGGCTGACTCGGCCCTTCCCCTTAACTCTGCCCTTCCCCTTGATAGCTTGCACTCAGAGCTGCACTCTGCAACATGCTCCCTCCAGCCCCCACACACAGCCAGACCCCCAAACCTTCTGCCTGTGTCCGTACCAACCTGCCACGGGGAATCCGGTCATGGAAGCTGAAAGAAAGCAAAGAGCTGAGGTGAGTCTCTGTCTCTGTGGCTGGACATTGTGGGGATGTGCAAAGGCTGCCTGAGCGAGCGCTCCCCTGCCATCTCGTGATGCGCGGGAGGAAAGGCTTCAGCCGCTCACTTGCGTATTTCAGTGACTTGGCCCCCGCCCGGGCAGTGGTTTGCCTGCGCCCATGGGGGAGCCCCTCCTGCCGGCGTCGGTAGCATCTACACGGAAGCGCTGCTGCTGAGTGTTTCAAGTGCAGACGAGCCCGAAGCAGCTGGCAGATGGCAAGACCTGGTGAGCGGCGACTGAGCCAGTGACACAGCACCAGGCCTTCCAGGCCAAGCCGCCTGATTTCACACGCCCTGCTCCCCTCAGGCCTGGCTGGGGCTAGCGACCCCCTGCCCTGGAGTGAGACAGCCCCACACACCCTGCTCCCCTCAGGCCTGGCTGTGGCTAGTGTCCCCCTGCCCTGGAGTGCAACAGCACCACACACCCTGTAGTGGAACCCAAAAGTGTTATTCTCCCGGCCCCCTGCCCTGGAGTGCGACAGCCCCACACGCCCTGCTCCCCTCAGGCCTGGCTGGGGCTAGCGACCCCCTGCCCTGGAGTGTGACAGCCCCACACGCCCTGCTCCCCTCAGGCCTGGCTGGGGCTAGCGACCCCCCGCCCTGGAGTGTGACAGCGCCACACACCCCGCTCC